CCAGCGGGACAGTGAGGACCTATGTGTAGGACCCCACCCCCCTCCCAGCGGGACAGTGAGGACCTATGTGTAGGACCCCCCTCCCAGCGGGACAGTGAGGACCTATGTGTAGGACATTCTCCCTTCAAGCTGGAGTCATGGACAGCCACAGCACCCCCATCACCGTTGAACAGATCTCCAGAGCTCCACCACCCATGTTACAGGGACAGCGGCAGAACTCTTCCAGTTGGCTTTGTTGATGACGTGTTTGTATACTATACAATGTAATATAATTGAATATTAGATTAATTTAAATGGACACAAATAATAAACATCTTTATTCCTAATTTTGATAACTAACAATGCCGTGAGATCTCCGGATCTGTTTTCACACCCCGGGGTCTGTGGACTAGTCATCCATCCCGAGTGTTTCCCCCCGAAATGGATTCCTACATTCTACAAAGAAACTAGATCTGCCCACACACAAAGACATACAATCTGGTGAAAGGGAATCTTGGATTCTCAGCCTACTTCCTACTTCTGGGTGCTGTGAAGTTAAATGTGAGTGGTGCCAGGGTGCTGGACCTAGCAGGCAAGCCAGGAGCCCAGCATAGGCAGCTTCACTCACAGCTGTTATTTAATGGAGTGCCGGTAGGCCTCATTCACACTGGCAATGTCAAGTTTGCGTTTATATGCATTTAGGTTCTCAACCCCGTCCTCGTATATTATTTGGACAATGCAGAAGGAAGGGCATGTGTCAGCTTGATGACCTCTTGTAGTCCCTGCTGATTTCCTGTCCCCTACTCCCTCCTATGGCCTACACAACTCTGCTCTTTAGCTGTCATGTTGGGGGGACTGGGCCCAGTCTATCTCAGGATCCTTACATACCTGCCCAGCAGTCATTCGGGGAGGCCAGGTAGAATACATTGGGGGAAGGGTGGGGATTCTCAACCCCATCCACACATAGTATTTAGATAGGCCACAGGGAAGGGCTTGCTTCAGCTTGATAACCTCTTGTAGTCTCTGCTGAGTTCCTGTCCCTTATCCCCCCATCCTATGGCCTACACTGCACCAAATCCGCCCATGGAAGCAGGTGCCGGCTGCATGGACATCATCCTAGCTGCCCACTGGTGATCTGGGGGGCATGGTCACCTGAGGCCACTCATACCCACAACTGACTAACCCACCTCCTGGCCCAATCAGTTGGAGCAGTGGCATTCGCTATCCCCATTGTGGGACAGAGTGGGCTTGGATAAACTGGGTTTGCCCCAAACTAATTGCTACTTCCTGCATATTCAAAGCCCGGTTGCACTGAGAGATCAGCATACCAACTTTAAAGTGTTATTAAATACATCTGCCTTCTGTTTTCCTGGGGTCATCTCTCGGAAGTAAAATTCAGGGGGGGACTCCATTCCCTGGAATCACACCCACGACGGTGCTCCTGCCCCTTATTGCAGCCTGATGTGCCGACAGTTTGTGCGTCCCACGCGCTCGGGCAGCTCCAAATGCTGTGAATGGCTACATCAGAAGCTCCGACTATAGTCCGAACCAGAGGTCTTGCTGCACTCCTTACCGGAAGAAACCCATACGGGTGGGGGGGTGGGTGCTCGTAGTGACCACGGACGGCACCGTGTATACCATAAATGAAGAAATAATGTCACCAGCACACCATAGTAGTAAAGCAATAGTCCATTCACTGACACATTGCCATTCGATGCATCAAATGGCAATGTGTCAGTACATGGACTATTGCTTTACTACTATGGTGTGCTCCGCCTATAGTGACTGACTGCTAAACTCCTAAGCCGGTCATGTGCCATTTGTTGATGGAGTGAAAGAATAATGGGACGTGTAGTCACATGGCCAGTCATGTGATCTTTACAGCGATCAGCCACCCTGGCTGGGAGTCCTAGGAAGTGGTTTTTATAGTAATCAAAAGTGACTGGGGACATATTTTATGCAAACACTACGGTATAGGTTTGCAACATTTGCCTGAATAAGTAACAGATCTCTGAAAGAATTGCAGTTTGTTTCACCATGTCCTCTCCAGACTGATTCCTAAATGGAAGGGTATCGGCTATTATTAGGGATGCGTCGAGTACGAGTACTGATATTTCGGTACTTCTGGTAGCATGGAGTCGGCTTCCCGGCAATCAGGAACCCAGGCAGTGTGTCATTCCCGAGGAAGCCGGCTCCATGCTGTTTGGTCAGGAAGCCAGTATCCCAGCCAATTAGCATCAAGCTAGCTTCCCGGCCAATCAGGAAGCGGGCCATTACCCGCTGCCTGGCTGGAAAGCCACCTCCATGTTCCTCTCCCTCTGACACAAAGTTCCAGTATCAGTGCATATCTAGCCTTTATTATAACCACCACATCAAATCTCAGTGTTCACAGGAAAGCTGCTGTATCCATCACTTTACAGCAGGGGGCTTAAAACTTCAAACCCCATCATGCATCTACCTCTGGAAGTCATTCCTGTGGCTGTCAGTCTTGCAATGCCGTTAGGTCACCTCCATCTGCTTCTTGCCATTTCCTGTTTGGACTAGTAAGTTCCAATTAGGAACAAAGATTACAGAGAATTAGGACTCTGGTAACATCTTCAACCCGAACCCCAGTGCCAGCTGGCTCCCGCAAAAGGTATGTCCCTCGGCATCCTCACGTCCTATACACTGTATAGAACATGGTGACTTAGGGACTTTAGACCGCTGCAGCAGAGGGGGAGAGATGATGAAGGCGCCGGGATCGCGGTTCAGACGAGTAACTATTTTAGCTCCCTGGACAAAATGAGCACTTAACCCTTGCAGTGCAGCAGAGGCGGGGAGGGGGCCCACTGCAAGGGTTCAGGTAAGATTTGCCCGGAGTTCTGTTAAGAGAAGTTTTCCCTTTACCGTGTGTGTAAACCCTAAATCCATTTCTCAGTATGTCTCGGCATCGTGTCTCAGCATACTTAAGCCAACTTGGAGATCCCGCCAGTAAAAGCACTTCCGGTTTTAAACTGACACCACCAAGCTGTTGCCTCTGAACCAGGAGCAGCGATGTCAATCAGCCAGCCTAGTATGCTCCTTCCATTTGCCACTGAGCTGCCTATCCCATAGACATCAGCAGCCCAGCTGTGGGGAAACTACAAATCCCATGAGGCATTGCAAGTATGACCGCCACAATCATGACTCCCAGAGGCATGTAGAGATTTGCAGTTTCAACCCAGGTATGAGAGCTGAGCTTGTCTACCCGACAGACCTTATAGGCAGCCCAGCGGCCAACTAAATAAGCTCATTTATGTCCTGACATGTTTTCCACTGGAAGCTTCCCATGCATTGCTGGAGGCTGTGATCACATGACTTCAGACAATTCCATGTGCTCCACAGAGCTTACTTCACCGGTAACATTTCAGCCTCATTCACACAAGAACAGGCCGGCACGTACAGCTCTGTGGTGCGTGCCACGGCCGTAGCGGGCAGCTCCCATGAATGACAGGTGGTGCACGTGATTAGTACGCAGCCCCCGTCCTTCTCTATGGAAATACGCCGCCCTACGCTCACCCCAAGTGCAGGTCCGTGCGGGTGTCTACTCATACGCTGACTGATGGATCCTGTCTGCGTCCGGGCCGGGACACCCGCACTTGGGGTGAGCGTAGGACGGTGTGCAGCGGCGTAGTCCCATAGAGGACGGGGGCTGTGTACTAATCACATGCAGCACCTGTCCTTCCCGGGAGCTGCCCGGTACGGCCGTGGCACGCACCACAGAGCTGTACGTGCCGGACGTTTCTCGTGTGAATGAGGCCTTCAGATGACCGAAGCCAAATCAGCACAAGAAACAGACAATATAATCCACTTTTCTTTTTTTATAAAAAAACAACTATTTTAAATTCAGTAACATCGGCAACGTCTGTCGCCGTTCATTCCACACAGATGTCAAGATACATAAAATATACCCGGAGGGGGAGACGTGAACATTGCTGGATATGATAGATTTCAGTACACATCCCATACGGACAATCTGTAGATCCCGCAAGTCTCGTGTATCCGTCTACATTGCAGGGTGATGACATTCATCTGATAGATCCTGCGATTTGTTCCTTAGAGGATCCTGCGATCAATGCGCTATTGTAATATTCATCATATGGGACATGTCGGCCCGGTCTGGTCAGTGTGGAGCCAATCAGGATGTTTCAATGAGTTGCAGCATAGAAGAGGCCGGACACATGGTGCATGTGATTATTCTGCTTTTAGTCCAAATGGATAATATTGTGGAAATTCGTGAATGATCTTTAATGCTTCATCATAAAGCCCCAGATCTGGAAGAGAAAACGCAACAAGATATTGTCAAACCTTTCAAAGGGAGCGAGCAGCCAAAACCGATCTGAACTACATTGGGGAGGGGAGGGGAGGGGATTTATCAAACAATTGTATTGCAAGCACGTGGCGTTTGCATAGCTTGAGCCCGGGAGTGACGGTCGTCAGTGGCAGGATTCTGCAGAGGTCAGCTGAATGTAAATACAGCAGGAAGTGGGCGGGTGCAATAGTCAGCCTGCTATTGGCCATTTCAAATTGCAATAGGCAATGGCAGGCTGGTTATTGCGTCCGAACAAAAGCATGTACGCCGACACTCCACTAGCTGATCAAGTACGTCTATTCATTAATGTACGCGCTGCATAGCAAATACACTAAAAGGAGAACAATGAGGCGCGTGAAAATCACTCACCTCATAGTTCTAGCCGACGTGTGACAATGAGACTGTCACAGGTCGGCTCAGTAGATCGGGAGGTGAGCGAACACATACCGGCGCTTGCTCACTTCTCGATCTATCCCTGAGAGCGGTGACTATCACTCACGGCTCCCTGCAGGGATTCCTCCCCAGCGCTAACTGGCGGAACGGACGGGGCGGGTACAGCTGGCTCTGCCTCTAGATAGGCAGAGCCAGCTGTCACTCACGCAGCTGGGTGGATCTCGACAGTAATGTCAGGATCTCTCCTGGCTGCGGCGGCTCAGTATATAGTGAACTGTATCTCGCGATGTACTGAGCTTTGGGTGACGGGAGGACGCTAGTTTGTGTCCTCCCGTGACCCTTAGGAGAACTATGGGGGAAAGCCCTGGCCCCATAGTTCTCCTTTAATTTAACATTCTGGGGTCGCAGAGGATCCCCTTCAACAAGTCGTTTCTGCCTGATGAAGGGGATCCTCTGCGACCCCAAAATGTTGCATTGAATGTATTTGCTATGCAGCGTGTACGTTAATGAACAGACATGATTGGAGTGCCGGTGTCCATGCTTTTGTTCATATGACGAGGCGGTTGCCATTCGCCAACAACCGCAGCACCCATCTCATCACATTGGAATAGCGGCATCGGAGTGCGGTGGGTATATGGACTGTATCTCGTCATTGCACCCGCACCACTGCTTGCTGCGCCCTCCTCTCAGCATGGAGGAGAGAGCTAGGAAATCCAACCAACTAATCCATAGTGAGAATAGGTGACAACTAATCGGTTGCAGCCCTGCCGGCATGTGTATGGCCTGTGCTCATACGAGCAGGAGTGACCCTTCACACACCTGATGAATAGTATAAATGGTACAGCTTACACAGCGGCCACAGTTCAGTGGGGGAAGGTTGGGGGGCGGGAACAGACTTCAGATTGTCACAATTCCAAAACGTGACCCGAGCTGCTGACAAGAACGCTGCGCTCTATACCAGTTCCCACTCTGCAACTATAACACAATTATTATGGCAGACGATTTCTAACAGAGGCTTCATGTCGGCATTGATATAAAGCACCGTCCTCCACTTACCAAAAGAGCCAACGTCTTCCCGAAATGGGATGTAGGAGACGCCCAATATTGTCGCCTTCTGGGTAACTTTTCCGACAACTTCTATTACTCCGGATAACTCTTCATCCAGCTTTGGGGGGGAAAAAATGTTCAGAGTAAAACAAAAAAAAAAAAAAAACATGGGAAACCCTGAAGAGGAACTTTACAGAGATCTTAGAAATGTTTAGTGATGACAATCTAGACAGAAACTTCTAGATCATTGCTGGCTCTGCATTCCTTATGTCTTCCCCAGTCTTCTGACAGTGGCCATGTTTACTAAAGACAGATGAATCCATCTCCATTTACTTCCTGGAACTCTGGCACATGTGACCAGGACACGTCATCTCGGGAGGAAAATGCCTTTCCCTGAGATCTCCCAGCAATGCCCTGCTGATGTAACCTACCCAAGAGGCAAAGCTTGGGCCCAGATCACTAATGCCCAGGAGGACCAGGAAGTGGAAAATACATAAATGACATATACACACTCTATACTCTGCTATCCAGAAATACGAGGCAATGAACACAAGGGGCCCATTAGTATAGTTATCAGGAGCCTTGGAACCCAGCCCAGTCACCAGCGCACATGACATCTGTTCTTACAAGTGTGGAAGTGAAGAATTCCCAGGAAGGAAGATGTAAAAGTCATTCCCTCGCAGTAATTAGATTCGGGTCTGAGAGAGTTCACAGGGCAGGAACAACGTTTACTAGTCCGGAAGCTTCCATGCAGCAAGGGAAGACACGTCCTGGTAAAGCCATAAACCTTCTAGGACCTCACGCTGCTGACTTATGGTAATGCAGAAACAATGAATGGACATGGCCGGTGCTTCTTTCACAGGGAGCAACTCCCCATTCTATAGAGAAGAGAGGAAATCCCAACCCAAAGAACTCAGATCATTCTCAGAACTTAAGCTGAAGTTTAATCTGCTTGCATTTTTCCTCCCTGGTCCCTCCCCCCTCCCATTAACTTGTTAGACACTTTTAAATAAAACCGATAATACAGAATGAATGAGGATTATTAGCTCCTCCCCCGTAGTGTTGGGTACTTACCGGTTCTGATAACTCCACCGTTGTGTTCTTGCCCGCTCCATCAGAGAGAACAAAGGACGTCCCTAAAGGGTTAACCTGTGTAGAAACACCAAAACAATTACTTTCCTGCAGAGGACTCCTGTGTGTCACAGGGCGGAATGTCAGCCACAGCATCTCAAGTTGGCAATAGCTGGTCTGGGAGGTGTCTGGCCCTTACATATCTTCCCGTCTGGCTCTTAGCAACCTGGGATGCTCAAGCCGGCATCCCACCCAGCCTCTGGCAACCAGTACCCTCACTGGTTGCCCGGAGCTGGGCGGGACAACAACCAGAGCTTCGCAGGTGGGGAGATGCATATGGAAGTTCGCTGCCTCCCACTACAAGTAGCACCCAGGGCATGTGCCATAACTGTATAGAACCGAAGCAGCTCACTGTGAGCCAATCACAGCCATCAAGACTGCCAGTGTAGACA